TCATTCATTCTGTGGGTGGTGATTTTTATCCTTCCCATAAACAGCGCCCTGAACCCCATCCTGTACACACACACACACACTAACTCACTCACGCACACACACACACTCACGCACACACACACACACTCTCTCTCACACACACACACACACACGAATACTAATGCGATGCTGAGGTGGAGACGGATGTCTCATACGCATAAGTAAATTCATTCTGCTCACATGGGATTCCTTTGACAGCTACAGTTCGACATCACACTGTCATTTAAAGATAATAAAAACATGCATAATTGCTGAAATTACATTTATTTTACATATTTACTCATTTAGATCATAATAAATTATTTGAAAATGAATTAAATGGAAAAAAAATATGAACTTGATCAAATTAAATTTGTAAAAAAAAAAATTATTCTTTATATGGCAACTTCTTGATTCTGTAATCATATTATAGTATTTTTCACAAATAAAAAAATATTTAAAATATACGTAAAAATAATATAACATGAATAAAATAAAGAATATGACACAAATACATCATAGTACCCTCGTGGACGCGGCCATACATAATTGGTCAATAATGTACAACGCTTGCACACTATTGGTCAAATTACTTTTCAGTCATTACCTTCAGCAAGTATGAAAATAATAGGAAAACAATATAAAAACCTGGACATTTTGAGCAGAAAATCCAGCCAGGATATTTCTGGAAATAAATCTTACAGCTGGATTCGCCATGTTTGCAAGTTTTGTGAAATTAGATGTTTATTAGTAAATGATTTTAGCAAATGGCTGCAATATAACAAAGAGTGAAAAATTTAAGGGGGTCTGAATACTTTCCGTACCCACTGTATATATAATATACTGTGTATATATACTGTATACGTTTAAATGATATAAATGCATATTTGCTGAAAACTGATAGTAGATGAGAAAGTATTAGCCTATAGCGTTTGCCTTTCTGTTACTAATAAAAGCAAATGCTGTAATACTTTCTCATATAGTGTTTAAAAGTTTGTTCTAATAATTTATTAGAAGTGTTAAACAGACTGTAAACTAGTGAAGACAGAGGATGGATGCTGACGCTTAGCACTGAAGAACTGTGAGTACTCTGTGTGACAGTATATTGTCAGCAGGCAGTGATGATAGTGACAGTGGTGTGATGACTTCACACTCCGCTCGTGATTATTGGCTAGAGAGCAGGAAGTCAGCAGTGAGTCAGTGTGCGGCTGCTGCTAATGCAGTTTGACATGTCGCCGTGAATCACGCAGCTCTCTGTGCTTTTAAGGCCAGCTGTCAGTCTCTGTCTACATGTCAGCAGCAGCACTATTCATGCAGGGACACACGAACGTGTCTGGAATCGTGCTGTCGTTGTGATTTCCATGAGCCTTTTGACAAACCTTTAAAACTGTACAACGGAGGCACATACACGTCCTCCCTAGTCTGCTCACTGAGCATCTTCAGAGAAATCCTCAGAATATCTGACGGTGAACGGCTTCACTGTTTTCATCACTGAGTGACTCTACAGAACTATATAGCAGTGGCAAGCGGTGACTTCTTTAACCTCTAATTTATTTATCAGAGGCAACAAATAAGAAACTCCATGACAGGAGTAGGGCTCTTGCCAGGAATAAACATTTGGTGTCTTCCCACATGCCTTCACACTCGTATATACACACATCACACACACTCAAGATTTGTTAAGCAAAATAAATATAAGAATAATAACAAATTGGTGCAAACAGCTGAATCCCCCCCCCCCGTTTCAGCACTGGTTAGTTCTCACCACAGTTTTAAAAAAGTGGGCGTGGTGCGCAGCAGTGCGGTGGAGGGGGAAGAGGGGAGACAGACAACACACACACAGCTTAGCGTTCAGACAGTTTAATTTCGCTCCCATCGAGTTACAAACACAAATAAATGCACAGCCATTTGCACTCTGCATCGAAAACAAATGAACGCGCTGTTGCACCACTAAAAGAACTTTTAAAGTCCCCCTGTGGTGAAAATCAAGTTTTTTATGTTGTTTATTTGTGTATGTGGTGTTTTTAATATGCTTTTAGACAAACCACGTGCCAATCTATTAATCAACACCATTGCTGAGTATTTTCTCCTTAAAACTGTAGTTTCCCAAAGGCTGACCCAGAAATGCGGTTTGAAACAGCCCTCGGTTTGCTACATCACAATCCAATAACCAATCACGTCAAGGGATCGATTCCTATCACTAGCATGCAAAATATGCTGTATCAAAAAAAATACCAATACCAGCACAAAACCAAAAATAAATTAAAGCAAAAAACCCATGAAGCTGTGGTTTAATGTGAATTTAGAACCGCTAACTTGCATTATAACCCGTGGCAACAGTGTAAAAGTAGCCCAGAGTCAGACCCACCTCTCCCGCAGCTGCGTCTGCACGTCACACGTGTATGCTCGCGGATGCGAATTAAGAATCACAAACGGCTGTATTCGAGTCTTCAAGGCATTTTAGGACACAACATCGTCAAGTAACTAACTTTAACAAATGTTACAGTATTCACTGTAGTTGTCCGCTAGTAAAAACATAGTTTTATCAGTCATTATCCGTGAATGCCATTGTCTATCTATCTATCTATCTATCTATCTATCTATCTATCTATATCTATCTAAATCTATGCTGATTTAGTTACTCAAAGCAGTAACTAAATCAGCATACTATCATCTCAAAAACATTGCAAGAATTAGATGTTTTGTTTCCAGTCAAGACTTGGAGAAACTTGTTCATGCCTTTATCACTAGCAGGGTGGACTATTGTAATGGTCTCCTCACCGGCCTTCCCAAGAAGACCATTAGACAGCTGCAGCTCATCCAGAACGCTGCTGCCAGAATTCTGACTAGAACCAGAAGATCTGAGCATATCACACCAGTCCTCAGGTCTTTACACTGGCTTCCAGTTATATTTAGGATTGGTTTTAAAGTACTTTTACTCGTTTATAAATCACTCAATGGCCTAGGACCTAAATGCATAGCAGATATGTTCACTGATTATAAACCTAACAGACCACTCAGATCATTAGGATCAAGTCAGTTAGAAATACCAAGGGTTCACACAAAACAAGGGGAGTCTGCTTTTAGTTATTATGCCGCCCGCAGTTGGAATCAGCTTCCAGAAGAGATCAGATGTGCTAAAACATTAGTCACATTTAAATGCAGACTCAAAACTCATCTGTTTAGCTGTGCATTCATTGAATGAGCACTGTGCGATGTCCGAACTGATTGCACTATATTCTATGTATAATCGTTTTCTTAAATTCATTTTAAACCTCTTAAATCAATTTTTTTAATCATTTTCAAAGTTTTTAAATTCCTTGTTTTATTGTTGTGATTATTTTTTTCTTTTCTTTTATGTAAAGCACTTTGAATTACCATTGTGTATGAAATGTGCTATATAAATAAACTTGCCTTGCCTTGCCTTAAAATTAACCAGTTTTCTCCAACAGTTAAAATTATCGGATGCTAACATTGTCTTCTATGATGTGCAACACAAACACTTCTGCTAAAATCTCAGAAAAAGTAGTCTGGGGTTTCATGACCCTTTAAGGGTCAGAGAGCGTAAGAGTAATCATGAAAAACACATTTATGACTTCAAGATAACTTGATGAAGACATAATCAGTGAGGCACTTTCACACATGATGACTGTAGATATCCAGATGGTTTGAGTTTTGCTTTGGTGATGGTGAGCTGTCTGTGTGTGTGTCAAGTGTGAATAGCTGCTTGTTAATCTGCACATTTAATCGGGCCTCAGTGAAGACCACAAGCCGTGACTACATCTGCAGTCTGTGTGTTTGTGTTTGGCATTCTCTACAGCATAATGCTGCTGTCTCAAGAGAAAATGCCACCAGTGTGCTCAATTTATTACTGTGTAAAGTCAAGGCTAAAAGATACTTTTAATTAGTTCTAAAGAACATACTACTGAACGTCCGTGAAGGAAATGCACAAGCTTATTTGAATTGATCCTTCATTTAGTATTTTGTGTACCCCAAAAAAAAAAAAAATCCAGACAAGAAACTCCATATTAAAGGAATCATTCCACAATATATAGTTTATTAAATAACATAAACATATTTTGATATATATTGAGTGAACCAGATGCTTGACAGTTGTACCAACCATATGACTTTTATTTATTGGTCATTTTGTTTTCCATGGATGGCCATTAGTGCAAAAAATATAAAAAACAACAAAACTTTAAAGGGGTCATATGATGCGATTTCAATCTTTCCTTTCTCTTTGAAGTGTTACAAGCTCTTGGTGCATAAAGAAGATCTGTAAAGTTGCAAAGACTAAAGTCTCAAATCCAAAGAGATATTCTTTATCAGAAAATGTAAAAATAAAATCTAATGAAAATTTTATTAAAAATATTAACAAAAATAATATAGATCAATAGTATAATGGTACAATGGTAAAATAGTATATCAATGATAAAAGTAATAAAAATATTTTATTAATAATATTATAAAATTTTAATCAGTAATAAAGCAATCAAAAGTAAATGTTTTAATTTGTTAAATTAATATGTATTGTATTAATTAATAGTAATTGTAAAATTAATAATTTCCGTCAGCTGACGTGAGAATTCAAAACTAGTACAGCAGTTTGCATTCACTCTGTCATTATCACATGACATCTTCACTAGGGTTGTGACGGTGAGGAAATTTTCCCACCGGTTAATCGACGTGTGACAACACCGGTAATACCGGTATCACAGTTGG